TCTTTACATTCTGCTTGTTTTTCCTGTTTTATTTCCGCAGAATAAAAGAATAAAGGCATGACGCCCCGAGTCATCGGATCATCATGAGGGGGAGAGTGGTCCACATGTTGTTAACTGTCAAAAAAAAAATCATTTTGGGACACTTCTCTCCTCCAACACGCTCTCTACTATCTCCACGACTCAAATGGTCAGCTACGCTCACAAGTCAACCATCATTATGTTCCGCTGTGCCACTGGCAAGTTCTCCTCAAATGCATTCATTCCGAATAGTAAAAAAGACTACATTGTGGAGGAGACAAAGGTCAAATACTCGTGTCCTGAAGATGAATTCCATGGGCGCCTCCTATTCTCCAAAGAATATTCATTCTAGAGGCGTCACCGGACTTCATCCAAGCTGATCAAGAGCAACTTCTGGAAGGCAAGGACTACATGCAAGATACTGAAGGTCCCTCAACCCCCGGCATCAAAGATCAAATTGTCAAGAAGACATCAAAGGGGAGATTGCAAGGATTTCTTCAGATAGCCTTCCTCAGAAGTCAAGTTCAAAGACAAAGGAAGCTGAATAACAACAAAGACAAAGATATCTGCGCTGCAATGCTGATTCAACACGATTGAACACCAAGGGGGAGATTGTTAGGAATATTTTATGGTGTCCAATCCAATTAAATATCTTTGTATTTGTGTAGTTATTAATTAAACGTGTAATACGGGCCACAAATGTGTATCAGCCCGGGGGCTTCCTTGTAACCCGTAAGTTAGCTAACTTATCCTATAAAAGGAGGCTAACCTACGGGAACCCTAACTAACGATCAATAGAGGCTTTAGAGAATAGAGGCGCAGAGATAGAGAGATTAGAGTTTGCCGTTGCTCTCCTTCTTCAGGGAGAGCAGCGGGGTTTCATACGGTATACCAGATTCGGTTTATCTTCTCCATAACTTTCTATCTGCCTCTTCTTTATACCTGTTATGATTGTTCGATTGTTAAGTTTTGGGTTTATCATATATATAAGGAATGGATCACATACAAAGGGATGCTCGCATAGAAAGTAGGAAAAGATCATGTTCGTACATTTTAAAAAACGGATGGCACCGATTAAGAACTAAATACAATCCCATTCAATGTTATAATGTGCCGGCATATATACGAAAAAACCCAACCAGGGTGCTTCATTGTCCCAAATAAGGGTAATTTAGGGAAATTGCAATAGGCAATAACCGATGCATGATGTGAGAAATCATCCCACTACTATCCTACAGAAAAAAGCTTCATACGAGGGGTAGATCCGGAAATTTCATTATTTGGGGGCACTTTACATGGGTGTAAATAATAAAATACGGAGTATAGAATAATCACTAGTAAAAAAGTGTGTGATATGTTATAAAATCCATTTTGTAGCACCGTAAAAATTGATACAATATAATATCTATTGTACCATTATTGCACCAAGAAATGCTACAATAAAATGATAAGCTGCTACAATACATCTATTGTAACACCAGTTACGATGCGTTTTTAAGATCTAGCATACAAAAAAATGCCACTTTTGATATACTGTGACATTTTTGGCACCTAATCAGGGGCGGATCCAGGATCGAGAGATGAGGTGGGCTAAGAAGAAGTAATTTTTTTTACTATACATACCAAATTTAGCCCAGGGTTGTTATCGAACAAAGATTTTTTTGAATTATATACTCGAGTTCGAGCTTTATTTCGAATCTAATTTAATGAATTGAGTTTAACAAGTTGCGAACTCCTACACGGAGTAGGTTTTGAGTTTGAATAATTATTCAAGCCGAGATCGAACATAGTGATGTTTCGATCCGAACATGAGCCTATCGTTCACATATAAATTATACTATTGTACATATCATAAAATTTAAACGTTTTAGTGCAATTTTTATAAATTTATTAATAATTAATAAAAATTTGAATACTTATTGAATAATCTGAACATGAATCTATTAACGAGAATAGTCTAAACTTCTACATTCGAGCATGTCTATCGAGCATTGAAATCCAAATTTGAGATAGTTTGGATTTCAGGGACTACAGCATGTGGAGGATCCTCATTGACTAGATCTTGCACTGTTGTAGGTATAGGTTCAGAACTCCCTTCACCAGTTTGACGATTCACTTTCGAAAAGAATGATGAAATCAACTTCTTTCCCTTCTTGGCAACATGTTCATTATCCATTCTAAAAAACATTTTCAATATTGGTATATATTAAAATACTTATATATAAAAAATAAAACTATTTAATTATGTACTGAAAAATTCAATTAATAATCAAAACGATTGTATGATTCCCTAGCCCTAAAACTCTAAAATGCTAAAAATAATAATAATTAATACATTAATAGTTTAATACACAATCGGTTAATCACAGTTTACAAATTCACGGCAGAAGTTCATAACTTCACCGATTCACAAATTATTTGTGGAGTGGGCTCACAAATAATTTAGGCTGGGCTGAGATTTGAAAATGTACCAATACTATTAAAAAAAATTGGGCTGAGCTGAAGCCCACCCCTGGCCTAGCATACATCCGCCCCTGCACCTAATGTAACATTTTGCATATGCTATCAAAGGTATACTTTGTTGTAGTGAATATCACAAATACAATCATCTTATTCGTAAAAAATTGTCTTAATTTTACTATGTGTAAAGATGTACATTAAAATACTAAAATATTACTCTATTCGTCTCGATGTTTGACTTTTTAATAAAGTGAGAATCGTGTGATATGATTGAAATTTATTTATATATTTGATATTTTAGATCGTAGTTTATGGTTTTGCTCTTTGTTGCATGACGATGATATCTTTTTGTTATGTTTTAGTTACTTTTATTTTGATATCACACAATTTTCTTATTGTAACATGAATGTGTATCCATCAAAACTATGTCTTACATAATATATGTATTGTTCAACTATTTTCAAATAATAAAACACGTAATGTGGAAATTTAGAACATGCATACATCTGTCTCAAAAGTAAGTTGAATAAATTACTTTTTAAGTTGTTTAACATTAATAATAAATCTTATAGTAAAAAAGATAATGAATCAATATATACAACATTTTCAAAAAAAATCTTGAGTTATATATACTCTGCATTTCATATAAAAACTTACGCGTTTAATTATTTTAAAGAATGCCTAAAGACATATACACTATCAAATTCATTGTCGGGAAGTTCATTCGTTTCTTCCTCTCTTTTTAAATTAAGTTTTTTGTATTGTATTGTCATTATTATTCTCTGAGGTAGGTTTAATTTTTGTTTTTGTTTTGAAATAACTATATTTTTAATTAGCAAAAATATATTGATAAAAATAAAAAACCAGAACCAACCAACCAAAGCGCAATTTCAAATTTTGAAAGATAAAACCAATAAGAATCAGATTTTCTAGTATGATTCGACATTTGGTTTTAAACAATGTTCTAAAAGGCGCTAGACGCTCATAAGGCAGTGACTGAGCGGGCGCCGACTAGGGTGCCTTGACATTTTTCCTTTATTTTTTGTTTTCTTTTTTATTTCCTTTGAATGTAATCATATTATTATTAATAATTTTATAATATTTTCACAATAGAAATAGCTCATATAATCATTAAATGTTAAGTATTTTATAGTAGAATCATCAATAACAAAATAATTAATAAATAAATTAAGATATTTGTGTTTTTTTTACTTTTTAGAAATCTTAAAATACATTCTAAAAAGTTTATTTATATTGATTTTTTTGGGAATGTGAAAATAAATTATATAGGAATAGAATACTTCTTGACCACACGATGTTTTAAGATAAAACGAAAAAAAAAGTTGATTCGGGAAATTTTGTAGTCTAGGCCGCCCCGCCCAGCCACCTCCTAGCCCGCATAGGCCCCGAAACGATTTTTTCACCGAATCATCGATTAGAGTGAAATCGGGGTGCCCGGCCACCGCCTAGTGACTAGGCAGGGTGCCTAGGCCTAATCTTAATGTCAAACATTAAGAAATGTTTACATTTAATTTAAATTAGCAATTTTCAACTCTTGATTTTTATTGACTGCACTTTTAACGTATCGTAGTATATGTTCTACAATAAATGTCAACCTACTTCATTGGAATGAGACTCGAAATGTGACTTCATTGTAAGTGTAACATTGATGTTATTAGACCACAATGTACTCTGCAACTTTTAGCTTTGAAAAATATAAAAGCATCGTCTTTAAACATGCGCTTCAATTGAGACAATATTTTAGAAAAATTGAAGTATAAGACTTTAAAGTTAAAAGATGGAAACAAATGGAGAGTGTGAAACAAATTTTAAGTATTTACTTAAAATTGATCGCAAAGAATAATATATGAGCATATTGGGTACAATCTCTAAATATGAATCCTCTGATTCTTCATTTGCAATTTGAATTTAATGTAATTAAATAATTTAATTCAAAATTAAATCTTTAATCCTTCAAAAATTTGAACATTCTTTGGATCTTCAAATATTCGTTCTTGAAATCTTCGAATCTTCTTTTTTCGGATCTTCAAATCTTCTTGAATGCAGAATTCAGTTTGAAGGGCATCCAGTTTTCAAGTAACCTGATCTTCAACAAAAGGGTCATTTTATGACTTAATCTTTTGTTAACGGCTTCTCAGGATATATGGCTTGATATTCAATTGAATTTTAATTCAATCTTTATATGAATATCTTCAAATCTTCAAAGATTTGTTCTTCGTATCTTTGAATCTTCAAAACATTGTTCTTCAGATCTTCGAATCTTCGAGCTTCGTTTTTCAAATCTTCGAACGTTCTTCAACTTTTGAATTTATTTTATCAAGAATGAACGAAATCACAAATGATTATTCATATATTCTTAATCTCACTCTTTTTGGGATGGATAATTCTTCTTTAGAGTTTGAGATATGATTGTTGCTTTGGATCGTTTGATTTTAATATAAGTTATTTCCTTTTAAAAAGTATACAGTGTTTAAAATAAATTAATTGTTAGTAGGAGAGATTACAGCTCAGGAACGCGCAAATGCGCAATCATTTATGAATGGATAGCATTCCGTGATTGAGTGGGAGTAAATTATATTTTTCCAAATTCAACAGTGGGAGTAGACCGGCACTTGAGAGGAGCAGAATAATCCGTCGCACTGAATTCCCTCGCAATCTCTCTCTCTCTCGTCCAGTCCAGATAAGCCCCTTCGCTGTACTCTGTCGTCGTTTCCGCGTCTTGTCCTTCTGGCTGCAATTCTCCAAATCTTCTCAGGAATACCGTGGCACTTCTCCGGCCAAGCTCCACGGCCATGTGTAAGCTCCGCTCTATCTTCAGCCTCTTCCTCCTCTGCTCCGCCGTTGCTTTGGTCTCTGCTCGAGGTCGAGGGTCTACTACTGCCTCCAAATGGCAAACGCTTAGCGGTAATTTCCCATCCACCTCTCTTCATATAGCGCAGCTTCTTCTGATTGCTAAGAATTCCAATTCACGCTTAGTTTTTTTTATATAAATAATTTTGGTGACTATGTTACTCCTGAAAACAGTTAAGTTTGCTTTACCCATGCACATTATTTCAGCCATCCAGGATTAAGAAGAGAATGAGTAAAAATGCTTGTATTCAGATTGCTTTGTAGAGAACACGATTTTCAATTTCATTGATAGGAGAGGAATCTAAGACTATTTATATATTCAACTCCATAGACTTAGTAGGTTTGAAGCACATGAAATGATAAATTGATAATTACACTACAACTATACAAGATAGCAAACTGTCCTAGGAAAAGGAAATAAAATACACTTTTATTGAAAGCAAAAAAAGGTATCCAGATATGTGAAAAACAAACATTTCTATGATTATTTTATTAAAAACTTTTCTACTTTTTATTGTTTAACCATTGCCCTAAGGGATATAGCAAACATGATATATAAAATAATATGGTAAAGATATTATTGTTACTCCCTCAGATGCAGTGTCTAGGGCTCTAGGAGTCAATCTAGTCTTGGTTTTTAACATTGGACTAATCTGAAGTTATTGAAGCTAAAAGAATATATTTTTAAGGGAATTGTACAACTGGGTAGAAGAGATAGAGGTTCTGTATTGTTCTATGTTTGGGCATGTCCTAAAGAGCTAAATAGCCCGTCTACTTATACGAGTGGACGAAGATGAATAAGTTACACGGTTTGAGTTGCATAGATTACTTCACTATTTTTATGTAATCCCCACAAAATATGGTTTGGAATCACATCAATAGGGAACTATACAAGGAAATAAATCATGTGTTGTTGAAAGAAATCAGGAGAAATCAGAATGAGATCATGTAAAGGATATTACCTCGCTTGCACAAAACCTCACCACACCTTTGCGTGCATGCAAATCGGGCCAGGCAGTGTGCCTGGATTTTCCCATTTCTACCCCGAAGGCCATAACCTCAAGAAATCCATGTTACATATGGAGTATAAAGTTAAGGAAACCTCAAGATAGTTTTCCAATGTGGGGTTCCCTCAAGAATTGCATATGGAGTGCCATTCATCAGAGCTTGCTGGTCGATTACTTGATTTATTGCATTTGGAATTAGCATTATATTGAAACTCACATGTGCAATATAGGCTTGCAATGCTCCCTAGTCTTTTAAGTAATGAAGTCTTTTCCATGCTCTTGTGGCTCTTTTAAATACAACAACAACATTACCCCAGTGCCGCAAAGGTTCCCACCTACGGTGGGGTAAGGGGGGTCCGATGTACGCAATCTTACCCCTATACTAAAGCACAGAGAGACTGTTTATGGATGACCCATGATGAAAATCCCATCGAAAATTACAGGGACTGATTGCTGCTTCATAACATAGAAGCGTGATAGAACACGGATAAATCAACAAGCAAAAACAGTAAACAAGGTCACAGATTTAACCTGAAAGGTAGAGAAACTGAAGTTTATTTATAGGGGTAATCCGTAGGTTACTCAGGGACAGGGACAGGGACTTCTTAGGCAACAAGGCAACCCCCAAATCAAATAACAGCCTCCATTAATTAGCTATTGGCCTACTATTTATAGTAAAAGGTATCCACGCAGGGACCAAAACAAATAACCAACTAAATAGCTAATTACTTTACAGCCCTTCCCTTCTATTTATACTACTAAATGTACCCTTACTATTATTATTATTTCTTATTGTTAGCCTACTAAGCCATATTCCTATCAATACTCCCCCCCCCCCCCCCCCCCCCCCCCCCCCTAAACAACCACCTTGTCCTCAAGTTGGATGACAGGAAACAACCATGATCTTCCACTTCCACTTCCACTTCATCCTGGCACCCCTTCCTTCCCAATACCTCACAGCTTGCTTGACTATGACCTTCATTACTTGACTTTTCAGCTTTACATCTTTCGCAGCAAACAAGGGCAGAAACTGGATATAATAACTCCCTGGGATTACACTTGAAGCCTCTTCTTTGTAACCAATATCATCATATAAAGGTTCTACAAGATAAATTCCAGCTGCCCTTGTAGTAATTTCAGCTGCTACATCATAGAGAACCGCAGCAACTTGCTTACCCAGATCTTCCTCATAATTCAGCAGTATCTTCCCTAAGATAGAAATAATCTGAGGAGTTTCATCTCTAAAGGGATCACATAGCAAACAAACTATAACCTTTTTTAGAACACCCATCCGAACTTGAAATGTTCTCTCAGTAGACCTCTTTAGGACTTCCATAAATACTGGATAAAAAGCATCCTGGATCTCACATTTGGATATAGCAAGGAGGCCCCTGAGCAAGCTAATCACTTCTAGCCATGTATTCAACTCATCCGTCTCCTCTTTGGATTGCATCATAGGAGAATTATAAGTGTAGTCTGCGGCACTGCGCATTGATAAGCTCCATAGAGATTTTTCATTCCATCCAGTAATTTTATAGCAACCTTGATATAAGCAGCCTGGATAGTAGAGTCCCGATCCATACTGATTCCACCTGACTGGTATTCAAGCACAAACTCATCAGCCCTTTTCCGTCCCGAATCAGTAAGTACCAGATTGCAGTTCTTTATGGCCACCTTGTACTTGACATCTGAATGAGTGTAAAATGATCCTTCAATGGTACTAATCTGTGGATCATTTTCCACCCCCTTCTTTTCCCCTGCCCAAAGGACTAAGACAACCTCTGCTCCCAAAAAAGCTTGGCCCTGTCCTTCAACATCCACAACCCTCTTCTCTCTAAACCTGCTGTTAGCAAGTTGTAGAGTACTGGCACCCCTTTCCAGCCATATATCCCTTTTCCCCACTTTTAGCAAATATAAATTCTGAAAGCTAATCATACCCTGCACAGAAGCTGGCCACCACAAAACATCTCCAACTAACATTACAAAGTCAGCTTCAGCATTGATTTTGACTGATATGAATTTAGAAACCGGGAATTCAACCTGCGTGGTTGGAAACGCCGATTAATGGCCTCCTTCAGACCCTCCCAACTCTTTTCTCTCGTTTGAAATTCCCTCCCTTCAAACCAGTAAAACGCATCATCCTCCATAGCTTCTGCTGCGACTTCAACTTTATTTTTCTCCGCAGTAGCTTTGAGACGGAAATACTCTTCCATCCTAACAATCCGACTGGCTGCATCATCCCCGTTAGACAATGGTAGTTCAACCTTTATTCTCGTACGACCACTTTTATCACGATTCATACCAGAACGAGACTGATCAGGATTTCTCGCGTCTCCGAGTAGCGAAGTGCGATGTGAAGAGTGCTGCGATCTTCCTCTGGATTGACACTGTTCATTTATCGCCGCCAGTTCTGACCGTCGCGGTTCTTTGCTCTGCACAGCGACCATCTTCGTTCGTTCGTATCTCAACTTTGCGGAAAACTACTTTTCCTCTTCTGCGATAAAGAGGCGACGATCAAATAAGACTCCAGGAGCGATTTGCTCTGATAACAATGATAGAACACTGATAAATCAACAAGCAAAAACAGTAAACAAGCTCACAGATCTAACCTGAAAGGTAGAGAAACTGAAGTTTATTGATAGGGGTAATCCGTAGGTAACTCAGGGACACGGACAGGGACTTCTTAGGCAACAAGGCAACCCCCAAATCAAATAACAGCCTCCATTAATTAGCTATTGGCCTACTATTTATAGTAAAAGGTATCCATGCAGGGACCAAAACAAATAACCAACTAAATAGCTAATTACTTAACAGCCCTTCCCTTCTATTTATACTACTAAATGTACCCTTACTATTATTATTATTTCTTATTGTTAGCCTACTAAGCCATATTCCTATCAAAGCGCAGACAGTTTAGTGAGCTTTTTTGCTTTATTCCATCATATTCCCAAGCCAAAAAATAGCGAGTCTTTGGCTCCATTGTAAATGATGGAATAATTCAACAGAAATGTAGCGTTGGTTAAGGGTTACATCACAATTAACTGTTGCTTCCATAAAACGCATGGTTTGTGTTTGACCTGTTGCATATCTGGATTTGACGTCAGCCAAATAAGTTCTTTATCTTTTTATGTGTGACAGGACGTCAACCCATAGTCATTTCTCGCGGTGGATTTTCAGGGTTATTCGCTGACTCCAGCTATAATGCATATCTTTTTGCCAAGCAGACTAGCCTAACTGAGGCGTCCATGTGGTGTGATGTACAACTAACAAAAGATAATATTGGAATATGCTTTCCAGATATCAAGCTTAACAATGCCTCTAATGTTGATACACTCTTCCAGCATAAGAATAATACCTACCTTGTCAACGGGGTTCCAACTCAGGGATGGTTTTGCAAAGATTTTAATCTCACAGATTTGGCACGAGTCAGCTGTGAGTTTTGGTCTATCTGCATCCTTTTCATGGCTCACAACATTTAATGTTGTTTTATGCATGCATATATAGTTTTATCTTTTTTTTTTATCTTACCTTATCTTTTTATCTTTCTTATCTTTCTTATCTTTTTAACTCTGATTTTTAGCCGACCCCAAACTCTTTTGGGACTAAGGCTTGGATGTTGTTGTTGATCCATGTATATATTTGAATGTTAACTCTTTATGCATAGCACTCGCCACCCTCTGGTATCAAAGTTAAGTTGACGGTGAGGTGTTCGATATTCATTATCTGTACTCTGTAGTTTCACATGAATGCTTATTCGTACTGGCTATCTTTTGGCATCAAAAGTGGTCTGGGCAGGGTAAAACGTGGGATCTAGAATTGCTTGGCATGCAACTAGTGTTAAATTCAGCAAGTATTACTTTAGAGTGACAAGTAAACTTTTAGGTCTTTGTCCCACCTACTAAATAGGTACCCTGTAAAACTATGGCAACATAATAATTAATTTTGCAAACATTTCATGTGCCAGCTCTGTATTTATTGAAAAAGCTCTCTTTTCAATGATTGCACTGAAGCTACTGATCGCCTTATCTAATTTATCACAACATTCAATGACTATTACATGCTGATCATCTTAGTTGTTGTGGCTTGTGAACAGTGAATCAAGGAATTTATTCTCGGACATTTAGATTTGATGGCACCCCACAGCAGATTCTTACCGTCGGAGATGTGTTAAATCAATTTTCAGGAATATGGTTGAATATCCAAGTAATAATTCAAATCATATTTAATCCAAATATCCAATATGCCTTAACTAATTAATTGTTCTACTTTTTACTCGTCTGTTTTACTACCTTTGTCCCACAAAGATAGTACACTATTCCCTTTTTCTTTCCTAAACATTACTTCCACTTATTCCTGTTATATCTGTCCCAAATAATAGTCCACTTATTATATTGACAGTATCATTAAGTCTTCATTTTCATATATGCTCAATGCTCTTGATGAATGCATTTTTATATCACCTGGCATGAGCTATCTCCTCCTCCTCCTCATAATTGTCTCAGTACCTTAATCCCAACTAGTTTGGGTCTTTAAATTGACAGTGGCTATATTAATAACCGAATGCCCTTCGTGTAGCCTTCTTAAGAAGGAATAATTGATGAGATATTAGGGTATATATGGAAACCATAGGTAAAATTATGCTTTAACTATATTAACTATCATTCTTAATTCGTGTGGAAATACCTATAAGACTATCTCTGTGGGACGTACAGAATATAAGTATCTCTTTCAAAATAGGAGTGTTTTATACATAGAATGCTTGTTCGTTATTCAGTTCTATTTTACTTTGACTTTTACATCAGTGGTGCTAATTGCCTATTTCCACCCACCTTTTCTTATAAAAAACAATATCTCATCAATAAACCACCCCATTGTTTTAACACCTACTTGCTGAATATACCTTACCCACATTTTCCAATTCACACTCTTCTCAACTAAACCCATAGGTTATAGAATTATAGCCTCACCACTCACTTCAGCTCCATGATTCATAGTTTTCTTGATTTCCCATTCCTTCTTTCTACTTATCTAGATTGCTGTTAAAAATACTAAACCGATGCTTCTTTCATAACAAACCATGGCTTTCAATTTCATTCAGCTCCCACCCAAAGTTGTGACCTTACAGTTGTAATCCTCATTGCACACCCACTAGTGGTTCAAAGCGGTCTTTTTGATATGTCCTCTTCTGTTCAGAGAGCCATGGATACAACAGAAAAAGCCATGGTAGGAGGAGAAGGAGCCGCCCCAACGTAGGGAACGGTCTTTTTTCCAGTAACAAGGGAGGGAGTCACCATCTCTTCCTCAACCACCACTTTCACCAAACAAATAGAGCCTACAATGATGACTTATAGGACCCAGATCCCCGGTTACTTGACTAACCCTCCCAAATGGGGAGGGCACCTAACTTTTTCTTCATCACTTTTTTTTGTTTGTTCGTTGTTCGCAATCTATAGATATTTGGGGGTATTGAGGACATGAATTGAGATTAGTTTGTTAAAGGTAGACCAAGGAAAGCGGATAGGGCTTATTTGTAAGCATATCATATTTAAATATGGGGTGTGAGGCTGTGAGTGTCTTACCGAAGTGTGTATTCCTAGAACGGATGGGTGCATATAAAACCATGCTTTTAGAAATCAGCTTTTACAGGAAAAATTGGGAATTTTCTTATCATGGATTTACAATATGGCTTACTGAAATTCCTAAGTGTAAAAGAAATTCAAAAGTAACAGTATCTTTTATAGTTTTACTGAATTCTTTTGTTTCACCAATTTTGCAGCATGATTCTTTCTATCGTGAACACAATCTGAGTATGAGAAGCTTTGTTCTTTCTGCTTCTAGAGGCGCTGTTATTGACTACATTTCATCACCTGAAGTGAGCTTCTTGAGAAGTATCACAAACAGATTCAATCCGAGAGTGACGAAACTAGTTTTCCGGTTTCTTGGAAGTGAAGAAACAGAACCTTCAACCAACCAAACATATGGATCTTTGTTAAATAATCTTACCTTTATTAAAACCTTTGCCTCGGGGATTCTAGTACCTAAAACTTATATCCTGCCTGTGAATGAGTCCTTTTACTTGCAGTCTCATACATCTCTCGTACTGGATGCTCATAAAGCAGGTTTAGAAATTTATGCATCAGACTTTGCCAATGATTCTCCTCTTCCCTACGATTACTATTCTGATCCTGTAGCAGAGTATCTTTCCTACATTGACAATGGCAACTTTTCTGCGGATGGTGTGCTCTCTGACTTCCCATTAACAGCATCAGCTGCAATAGGTAAGATATAAATTAATTCTATCTCACTGAAGTGAAGATGAAACTAACATTGCAATATAGCATATCATTTTATTCTCTCATGGCTACAAGTAACTGTGAGGTTGATATATTGTTCCCATAGACATGTCTTATTGAATGTTATTAGTACTTCAAGCATGATTTTAGATTAATTTCTTTTTCTTTCATTGCATGCATTTATGAGTGATTTTAAGTCATGCCAAAAGGGAATGAATGCACTAATATTTTGTATAAAGGTTAATCACTATCACTCTTCAGTTTGGTCAAAATGACCTATGTTTTGAAACAATTAATTACCCCTCAAGTTTGCTCAAACTAATAAAATATTCTTCTTATTCTTATTCTTTTATATTACACCCTCTGTCCCATTTTGTAAGACATACTTTCCTTTTTGGGTTGTCCCAAATATATGAGCACTTTACTAAATGGAACCCCACTAACTTTATACTGTTTCACTTTATCCCTTTACCTATCATTTCACTCTCTACTTTTTGTGGATTCATATTACTCTTTTTTACCTTTTGGAGTTCAGAATCGTAAAACAACCATTTTATAATTTATTTCCTTAAAACTCGTGCCAAACCCACATGTATCTTACACTGGGACGGAGGCAGGAAAAGAAAATCAGATTATAATTAGAATTATAAAACTCAATGTTTAAATATGCATGCTGAATGTATGGTTGCTGACGGTTCTATAAATAGTCCAAATATTAGGAACATAGTGACATTCACAATGGTGGGTGCCAAGTTTCTTTTGTAGAAAAGAAGTTTCCCAGAATAGAAGGAAAATCATTGTAAAATTCGAAAGTAGGGCACTGTATTTTTTTCTCCCAGGAGTAAATTAATGTCGTCCTAAAATCACTGTAATATTTTGGCATTACTAGACATTAGTATGTCAGCACTAATCAGTACCATAATTGACAGTGCTTTCCAAGCATGTTGTAATCACTCACATTTAGGGATAAAAACATAGTACTCTTATTTGGAATTTCAAGTTGATTTTACTCCTATTTAGAGCAATTTCTGTTTTTAGAATAAACTTGAAACGTGCCAGTGTGAGGTTGTGTTCATGTTGTCAATCTTGACAACGTTCTAAAAATTAAAATCCGTTCATATATATATAAAACAACATCCAGGTCTTAATCCCAAAAGAGTGAAGGGTCGGCTAACATGAATCCACATATGGCATCGGAGTCGATTCATGTTAGCCGAACCCGAACTCTTTAGGGATTAAGTTAAATGTATTTATAACATTATTTTCATTTTAATATAATTGTAGTGGGGCCACTTTGAACTACGAACATGACATAATGGTTGTGATATAATTTATTATACATGAAGACATTTTGAGATAGATGATTAATTAATGTTAGTATAATGTACACTATTATTATGAGACTAATGTGATATCCTTGACATGTGTGTGTGTATGTGTGTGTGTGTATATATTATGAATGGTGGCCTTGCATTATATGTGAAGCGAATTAGTTACACACTTACACTATCAATTTTAGTCTTCAAGCGTAAGACTCCTTTACCTTCACCCGATCAACAGAAATCTCGGTTTTTAATAAACAAGACAATATATATGGTCTAATGAAACTGACTTGTGTATAATATAATTACATCTAGGCCAACACCTATAATGTAAACACAGTTGATCATCGGGACTGTCTTGTAATCAGCAATTAATCATTTATGACCTCGTCGTAGTTAATTTCTAACCAAACTACCAAAGTAATTAGTATGGAACATAGGAATTATTATATAATGTTTCTGACTTAGACATAATTTATGCCAATGGTTAGAAACATTATTGACATTTTTAATTTTTTAATTATTTCATTTCCTTAAATACAAAAGGATATGATACATGAGGTAAACGAGCTCAAAATTTAATGTAGGGGTAATAATTAATTTGACCAAACTTGAGGGGGCACGTAGTTGACTTTTTATTGTATTGCCAGCAGTCTGGCGAACGATCTGCTATCTTAATATAGTTGCCGTTTTTCTTTCAAAAAAAAGTAGTTGACTTTTTAAATTATAAGTTAAAAAGTTAGCTTGACTAACCTGGATGGGGTAATAAATATTAACCCTTTATATTATATAAATAATATAAATACAAAATTATAAAATACGTATAGGATGACATATTTAAACTAGCCAGAATGTAATAAAAAATTTATGAAAAAAAAACAATAGGTATGCCAAAATCCATCTGTTTAGAAAATACAGCTCGGGGTTGAAAGACATTGCCCGGAGAAGCTCTTGGAACAAATACACACAGAACATGATTTGGGCGGGTGGTGATTAAAGTCTTCCAATCTTTTACATAAGGGTTCTTAAAACAGCCACCAACAAACTACATAGCAAAGAAATATTTCCAAAAACTTGCTATATATGTATATAATAATATAAATAGCTTCTTATGATTATCACAGGCTCTTCTGAGTTCATTGCAAACTAGGATTGCTCCGATCCAAGTTAAAAGTGTTTGACTCCTTTGTTTAGAGTATTCAATTTGACATTATCAGTATCATCGGGCCAATGGTTTCAAAGCTTTTATTTCTTTGCTAAATAATGGTTGTTACATTGCAGGGTGCTACTCTCATATGCAGAAGGACGACAAAATTCAAGGTATGTGTCTACCCACTTTCTTGTTTTTGGATTTTCTTTTCATGCTCAAGTTGAAATGCTTTCAGATTATGCTAAACTATCTTGAGTAGTTAGTTTTGTGATATTAGTGGTATTAATCAGCTAAATGGATAGTAATAGCAGCATCTACACTCTGAAGATTGTTTGGACTTTGGAGTGGCCAAATTAAAACCTGACGATGACCTTTTTGTAAGAAATACCTACAAAAATGGGGCTTAAGATTCACAAGATTTTGGCCTTTAAGGACTCACCTCTATTTCTTTTGGTTTTATGGACTCAACCTTTTTTTTAATTTTTAAATTGTAAATTTGCTAAGAAATTTCATATTATATATGTATATTTAGGCATGACAATGGGATGGGTTTAGACCCAGATCCGACTCAAAACGGTCATATATTCTGCAGATATGGTTATAGATAAAATTCTGTTTATCTGACCCAGAACTGGACCCGTTTTAAAAAGATTAGAAAATGATTCAGGCCTGGGACATTTAATTTCAAACCACCTGGGTGGCTGGATCCTCTATAAATCATTAAGGCTTAATACACAAAAATAATCCAATGTTTGAACTTTGGAGGCAGTTACAGAATCGAACATATATTTAAGTGTTTAAAGAACATCCATCGTTTTAGAGTTCAAGACAATATTAGGATTTAGGACATACCTAGTTTTTGCACTAAGATATATTACTTTTACACTGGTGCCGCACATCTAAGATTCAATTTCCTATGAGTCTATGACGTCTCATTACTAAATCATTATCTTATCTGTTTTTTTCTTTCATTTTTCTGCAAATCATTGGCAATTAATCTTGAACTTTGTGATTTGTTGATTTGTAATTGTGTTTCCTACCTCATTTAAACCAGGTGCACACTTGCAATTAGGTGAGATTCTTAGCTGCATATTTTTTAGTGCATGGAACTAGGTGGATCCTAATCCCACGTTGGATTCTAGAATGGTGGATGCTATTTAAGAATTACGATAGAATAGATTATATCTGTTGCCGACTTCAAACATTGTTTTTTTTGTTGTGAAATGAACTGTAAGTATACTAGTTAAATGATTTTATATAAATATATAAATAACTTATTTTTGAAAATGACAAATTTAAAAGTTATGTTTTGAATATGTACTATGAAATTAGTCAAATTACTGTGTATATACAACAATAATAATCTAATTTACTTATTAGGACCTGTATGTAATATGATGTTTTATTTTTTATAAAGATTGCATTAGAATAGTTGTAATGGATTTAAAAGTAAAACACAATTTATTGTTGTAATAATGAATGTGTAATAATTTGGTAACTTGCGAATCATTAAATATTCATGTCTTTTGTTAATTAAAAAATGAATTCAGATTAAAATAAGATATGAAGATCTTTGAAAATCTTAAGATATACTGTAAGGCCGGCCCTACTAACTTCTAGGGTGGGCATTGGCCAACCACAATTTCTAGGACTAACCAATTGGTAGACGAACTGCATCTGGGAAAAAAGTTGCTAGACCTTATGCAATTTAGTGATTTAGAACTATTACTATTTTTTATACGTATCTCGTTTATCTTTTTATTTTCTATCATTTGCAATGGAGCCAAAGATTCACTATTTTTTGGCTTGAGAATATGATGGAATAAAGCAAAATGGCTCACTAAACTGTCTGCGCTTCTTTAGTGTGAAGCAACAGTCAGTCCATGTATTTTTCAACGCGATTTTCACTATGGGTCATTCAGAAACAGTCTCTTTGTGCTTTAGTATAGGGATAAGACTGCGTACATCCGACCCCCCTTACCCCACCGTAGGTGGGAGCCTTTGCGGCACTGGGGTAATGATAATGATGAATCTCATTTATCTTTTTACTGTTACTAATTTGTTTATCTAGAATATAACTAAAAAGTGAGTTTAGTCCCCAAAAGTGAAGTGTTAGAAAACTTTACTCCTTATTTTGTAGTTAAATTTCCATTACTCCGTTTAATTAATCCATTTTCTCTGACAGTAACATATTTCTTCTTATTTTGTTTTTTTATTTCAATATCATATTGATATTCTTCTGTGATCTGTCACATCTCCCCGAGAAAATGACCTATTTTGGGTCATATGGTTTTTAAAACTGGGAAAATAGAAAAGGGAGAATTTGACTTTGTACCCCATGTTTTGAGCAAATATTAGACTTTGTACCCCATTCTCAAAATCATCAACATTTGCACCCCATTTCTCTAAAATCATTTGACTTTCCACCCCTCATTCATAATTTTTGAGCTGATGGGGTGCACATGTTAATGATTTTGAAAATGGAGTGGAAAGTCCAATATTGATCAAAGCATGGGGTGCAAAGTCAAATTCCTCCAATAGAAAAAGACAAGAATAAAACAATAAAGAAATAAGAAAATCAATGAAGAATGAAGAGTTGGTTTGACCAATGAATAGTAAAATGGGATACATTGAATCCTATTAAATGTGTTTTTCACATGTCCTTTTGTACAAGTGAACTCAGGTAAGTAAAATCTTCTGACTCATTTTATTTATTTATTTGCAGTGACTGATCTTCTGGTTATAACAAATGATGGAGCAAGTGGGTATTATGCTGGCTGTACTGATGTTGCATATACTTCAGCAGTTTATAATGGTGCAGACATTATTGACTGTACTGTCCAAATGACCAAGGATCGAAGACCTTTCTGCATGGGTTCTGTTAACCTGATAGGTGTGACAACAGCTGCAGAAGTATTCAACAACTATTCTCGTAGCATTTCAGAGCTTAAAACAGTTCGTGCAATACATAGTTTTGACCTCACATGGGGAGATATCCAGAACCTAAAGCGTAAGTTCAGAAATATAGAATTTAACAACAACAAGATGGATCAACTCAATTGTGTGTTCAAATTTTATGCATATCCTTCCCAAGTAACTTAACTATGAATCAAGTTGCTGAACTGCAATATTTCTTATATTAATGTCTGTGAGATACATTTCGAAACTTGCTAGCAAAATTTTCATCACACACCTAGTTATTGTAAAGGAAAAGTTGGACTTTGCGCCCCATTTTACCTCTTTACTATTTGCACCCCACCTTTATAAAAATCTGTTAAGAGGAGGGTTTAAAATTGGGTGTGAACTATAAATTGGAAGGGAAGTGGAAATTACAATTTGGAACAATGTTATGGGGTGCAATCAGAAATGACATTCAAGTTCTTTCCTTTCAAGAGTGTAAAGTTGTCTAGATACCTACTACTTAGTAAACAAACCAGACCACCTAGTAGTTATTCACTCTAGTTCTGTACCTACTTCTCTTACTAGCATGCGTCTTAATAATATAAATTGTGGACCTGTCTCTGGGATGGTGGTTTACTTGTGGATTTTTTGAGACTGACCTCCCATTATTGATTTCTAAGTAATTGATTTTCATAACATTTGCATGTATTCCAATTTCTCGCAGCGACAATTTCATACCCATTTCTAAAATATCAATTAAAGCGAAATCCCAATGCCAGAACTGTGGGGAAGTTTATGACACTTGATGACTTCTTGACATTTGCAAAAAATGCTACATCTCTTTCTGGTGTTGTCATTAAAATAGAGGTGAGTTCATCTAGTTCCACTTTTTACTTCTATATTTCGGTTTGACTTCTTATATCATCACTATTGGTGATGTCACTGCTTCAAGAAAGGGATGCTTGCATGCGGAGCATGCTTATGTGTACTCCCTATAATGATTTAGAAGTTGAGACAATGTTTGCTCTTGCATCTATATTGACGGAAATTAAAAAAATGGTATAGTATTCAACAAAAAGGAAATTTCCCAAAATAGGAATAAAAATCATGTAGTTTCCCTGAATATGAGTAATATGTCCCCCCGAAATAGGAGTAAATTAGCCACCTAGAAGTCACACTGCCATAATTTGGCATTTTTCCATCATTTGCAATGGAGCCAAAGATTCATTATTTTTTGGCTTGAGATTATGATGGAATAAAGCAAAATGGCTCACTAAACTGTCCGCGCTTCTTTGTTATGGAGCAGCAGTCAGTCCATGCAATTTTGGACGCGATTTTCACTGTGGGTCATCCGGAAACAGTCTCTCTGTGCTTTAGTACAGGGGTAAGACTGCGTACATCCGACCCCCCTTACCCCACCGTAGGTGGGAGCCTTTGCGGCACTGGGATAAATGAAAATGAAATGAATGATGCATTAATGTGGCAGGATTTTCCAAGCATGACAATAATTACTTCTATTTACGGGAACAAATATAGTACTATTTTGGAAAGTCACATTTTTACTCCTATCTAGGGCAATTTTTGTCCACAAAATAGGTGTGGAAGTCTAGCATATGATCATTTCAAATACCCCTATGGCTGTTGATTATTTTTGCCAAAAAGGGTGTTTCCTTAGTAAAATCATGCATGATCCTATTGAAGTGGACTTGGTTGCTTTGGGTGGGCTTGGAGGTGGGGGAGATGAAATAGTGTGTGTAGGATAATCAAAACATTCTTTATCCTGTGTGTTCACTATTTTGACACCGTTCTGCTCTTCATACAGAATGAGGCATACCTGAGAACATTGGGACTGAGTGCGATTGATGCTGTTCTGGATGCTCTAAACAAAAATGGATACAATACTACTCTTACAACCAAGAAAGTTATGATTCAATCCAGCGACAGCGCTGTTCTGGAAAAATTCATGAATAGCAAGTATGAAACTGTTTATGGGATTAAGGAGGACATCCGTGATATTGAGAACTCAACTATAACAGAGATAAAGAAGTTTGCAAGTTCTGTGGTTGTAAGCAAAGATTCTGTGTTTCCAACAGATGCAGAGTTCCTCACTGGGCAAACACACGTGGTAGCAAAGCTGAAAAATGGCAATCTTAAGGTATATGTGCAACTCTTCAGCAATGAGTTTGTATCTCAAGCATGGGACTTCTACTCTGATGCATATGTGGAGCTGAACAGCTTTGTTTTTGGTGAAACTCCCATTGATGGTGTTATAACAGGCTTCCCTGCCACAGCTGATAGATACAGGCGTAAGCAAATAACCATCAACTCTAAACTTAAGACTATCACACTTTATTGCTAGGGTCAGTTTTCGGGGGATGGGGGGGGGGGGCAGTCTATACTGTGATATAAATGTGAAATCATAATAGGTGTTCATATAACACTCAAGTCACTCTTTGTTTTTAAAACATTCTATATTTATGTGCGCGTGTATGCGCACATAAATAGGGTGCGGTTCCAGTAAAAAGAAGTCTTCAAGTGAGAATGAAAATGAAGCTCCACTATTGGATTTGACGATGTTGCACTACTGTGACTTTTCTGTGCACCATCATGTTGCACTAGCATTGTCATTTTTGTAAATACATTTGAAAATCCCATATTGAACTAGACATAAACGCAATGGTCACTGAAACACATCATATATTCATCTTTGCACCTTTGCACCGAAAAGCACTCTTCCTGTGAAAGTGCATATATGGTGCATTTCGGTGCAGACCGCCTCTCTGACTAGTTCAAATGTATTTACAAAAATGACACCGCCGGTCAACATGACACCGCTAGATCAACAGTTAAGATTTATTCTCATTTCTTACCTTAAAGGCTTCTATTTATTTGATCCAAGATTTATATAGATGAATAAGAATATAAAAACTGTGCAGTATATTTACTGATAAATTACTGGGAAAAGAGCAGCAACTAAAATGGCTACCAAACGGCTACTAAGACTCTAAGAGCATCTCCAATACCACAATGTGCACGGTACACGTGTGGCATGAGAGAGATAGACACACAAATATTAGTAAGCAAAATATCTTTCTCCTTATTTGAATGGTCTTATATGTTGTGATAAATTTTTCTCCACAATGTCAAGAAGAATGTCTAGATATAGACATTGTGATTGACATTATTACCAAAATTATGTAAAACCGTTGAAAGGAGAGAGAAATGTCGATGATTTATTTTTGGGAAACTGCCCTAAATAGGAGTAAACAACTTTGGAAGTTCAAAAAAAGGACTACTATGTATTTCTTCCCGAACATAGTAGTCCATTTTGAAATTCCAAACTTTATTTAGTCCAATTTTGGGAAAACTCCCTTTATTTTTATGTGTCTATCTCTCTCATGACACATGTACACCGTGCACATTGTTGCATTGGAGATGCTCTAAGTCCTCCAAAGCCGTACTCCATCCAAACTGACCTTCCTGGGATGTTGAGATGTCTTATGTCCACACGAGTTTTGTTTGTAAGCTGACACAATGTTTGGGTGTTTCTCAGGTTCCTATTGCATGGGATACAAGGAATTACCGCAATACATGCAACCAGTTCAACCAGGCAGTCTTCTTCAACTCATAACTCCTCAACTTTTACCACCTACAGAGGCTCCTAGTCCTACGCTGACAGAGAGTGATATAGCTCAGCCAGATCTACCAGCAGTTTCCAAGGATTCTCCTCCTCCACCACTTCCTCCTGCAACCACATCATCACCTCCGCCTAGACTTCCACCTAGCGGGCAACCTTCAACCACCTTTGGTATTTACGCAATGAGCATGTGCATTCTTCTCTCACTTTTGATGATTTGCTGATTAAATGTTATTTATTTGTGTACAATTTGTATCTCCATCTACTACTACTAACACTACGATATATGTATGTATTCTATTCTATGATGTTCTGAACCCACTGGACACGACCTGGATTTGTTCAGATTGCACCTAACCAGATATCCTGTGACCTTCATACTCTAGGTACACTCCATGATCCTTGTCGTTGCCCTTCATTTCTTTTTTTGTTGTTGTCTTTAGCTAGATGCTATCATGTCATTGTATTGTACTGTAAAAACAGGGGGTTGTATTAAATTTATTTATTCAATTGAGATGGTAAAAAAATCACCAAAGATTCTTGAAATATAAGATTGAGCCTTGTGAGGTCCCTTGAGCCCGCCTCATTTTTTGTTTGTTAAGCAATTCAAGTTCCTATTACGCACACTATTCCTAATGAGCAATCTATAGTAAGTTGGTACAAACAATATTCTACTATATTAACAAATGAAATATGCTCATTATTTATGTCTCTACAGAAAAATTGATATTCATAGATATTAGTATGTTAAATAGTTTTTAGTCTAGCGTATTTAGACTAGTGGTTGCATTGGCCGATTGTGTAATATGTATATATTATTAATAAAATAGTTATATGTAAAAATAGTCATCTACAGTAGCTTCAACCAATACAGCCAGAAAAGTAACTCCAATCTTACTTTTTCTTATTATTACACAATTGAGCGCGCGAAAACAAAAGTTACGTGTTTGGTATGAGATAATCTTAGTGGAACTAAGCAAAAAAGAAAAAATGAAAGAGTAATATACAAAGTGTCATATATACAAGACTAAGGCACATCCAATTTGTCTTTAATACTTTCAAAAAGAATTTGTCTTTTCTTTTTGAAAAAAAAAACGCCAAACAATATTAATTTAACCAACAATTTGGAGTTACAATTAGCCAAAAACTCAAGATTTGTCAACTATCTTCTAAAAGATTCCATCTAGATTCAAGAAAAACCATACAATCAGACTTTGAGACAATTATCTCCCAAAAAAAGTAACGTGAATCCCGCTAACCACCAAAAGGGTAACATAAAGTTCTTTTTAATCATTAAGATCACCGTACTTTTTACCACTTAAACAAACTCAAAATAGCCGAAGAGTGTTCCCTCAATCCCTAATCATACAAAGAAAAATTCACCTAAAAATGAGCGAAACTTTTCGCTGAACATATGGAAAATTTGAGGCATATAACAACCATAAGCTCCCCAAAAACACGACTAACACAAGCAAGTCAAAAACATAGTAAAATGTCTAAACAAACATAAGTAAAGTTAGAAAGATAAACATAGCAATAAATCACGTGTCCAGATTCAAACTTTAAGTGGTTTTTCCAAATTTTAACCACATGACCCCTCCATGGCGGCGGTCAAGGAGGGGGACGTGTCGACATTTTCTTCCTCACCCTTCTCCTTGTACATCACGTTCTCCTTGTATCCGCACACATTGCTCTGAACTAGTTTTGCATCAGGCGGAAGCTCTACACCAAGAATTATAAGAACACTTATAACATATAAGGATATCACTGCTGCTCCAATATCCTTTGATTAAGACACTCAACCTTCAATGATGAATACCAAGAATTGAGATTCTTAAGCCAAGAATGCGTCGCACAATTAATTTTGATGAAAGAAAACCACCCTACATGCCGTAGGGAAAGACCACCGCTTATTAGGCGAAAGAAATCCTAGAATTCGTCTTTGATAATTGAGAAAAATAATTAAAATAACTCAAACTTTGAAGAGATGTGAGATAAACACTCCAAACTTTCATATGTAATGCAAATACCTCAACTTTATATAAAAAATTATTTTAACACCATGCTCATTATTATTTATTTCAAAAATGTAAGTTTGTGGTGTTAATTGCATAATTTAAATAGAGGGTTCAAATTTAAGCAAGAAAATAAATTCTCAACAAATGATTGGTATAAAGCAAAAAACTATGCCAGCCTAATAACAAAAAAGTTGTTAGCTTTTATTTGGTTATTACCAAGTACTCCATCCGTCCCGGATTGAATCACAAACTTTGATCGGCACAAGGATTAAGAGATGACAATAAATGATGCTTGCTTTTTACACTTTTGCCCATTTTTCTAAAAGTAGATGCCTTTAAGTTAATGAGAAAAAAGTAAAATTAAGGGTAAATTTGTCAGTTTATTCTTATTTACATTCCTAAAATAGAAAGTGGAAAATCATTTTGAGATAAACAAAAAAGAAAATTTTGCAAATCAATTTGGGACTGAGAGAATATTAATTTTATGTGGATGGGCTTTTTTTAATTCAAACCTTCACAAATCTTTCCTCCATTTTCCTATAAAAATATGAGCAAGTTAATTCAAAAGTCTGACTTAAAAAGCCGAAAAGGTGCAATGTACTGGTTTCCCAAATAAAACATACGGAGTATATCTCTCTAATACGGTTAAAAAATTTGCGACAGGCAATCCAGGCAAGAATGAATTTCAAATCTTAGAGTATATAATAATATCTTATGGACCATAAACAATAGCAGAGCATGCACCCAAATGAATGGATTAAAATTCAAAATATTAGAAAAATCACTACAAAAAAGAGCAAAAAGCCTTAATTGTTTGATTAGAGGGATAATTTGAGTTTGCACCCCATTTTATTGTACAATTTAGACTTTACACCCCGTTTTTAAAAAACTTTGTATTTGCACCCCAACCCTAAATGAAAAGAGCTCATTTATTAACAATTTTGTTGGCCTTCTACACATTCCGAGGAACATTTTTGTTTTTCATACGAGGACTGCCGAGAGCGTGATCTCTGTTGATGAGGCTGAAGGCGTGATCTCTGTTGATGAATGGCGGTGATTGTCCCTGTGTGCCGGAGGCTAACCACAGATGAGGGGTTCCCTGGCTTTCAACATGCTGAGGGCTGAGGGGCCCTGCCTTGAGGGGTTTACCCGTTTGTTAAACTGGGGGGCTCCTTTTGATGAAGGAGTCTGAAGGAGAAAGCCCGAAGGCAAGCACAATGTTGTTTGAGGGGTGCCAGATGAGGGAACTTAGTCTGTGAGAGAGAGCCGTTGAGACATGACAGTTGGAATATGACCGTTGGGATATAGCCGTTGGAGGTGGTGTCCACGTGGCGTGTACCCACTAACTGACTACGGTTGGGTGTCACCGGTTGGCGGAGGCGGCGGCGTGTAATGATGACTTTGGTGACCGGGGGCCCGGTTCTTGGCCCAAGCCCGGATTTGGGGAGTCTATAAATACCCCAAGGCCAGAGCCATTTACCCTTACGCATTCTTGTTGTAGCGAAGCTCTGGTGAAATTTTTCTAGAGAGAGAAACTTGCCCTCAATCAAATCCCCAGCTTCCAAGGTCAGTTCCTGCCCCCTTCGCCTTAGTATACTTTGCTCTGTGTCCTTAGATTAGGTGTTAGAGCTCCTTGGGTAGCCTTCTGTTTCAGTACCCTTCGCCTTTATATTTTGAAAAATGTCGTTGGCAAGTGATTCCCAAGACATCTCGAGGGAGGCATCGGTAGTCGATGAGAACGTATCGGAGGTGGAGTCCTCAAGCGAACACTCCTCGGTCAACAATGACCTAGCGGTAGCTGAGGAGGTGCAGAAAAGCCTTCAGCTTGAATTGGAGGCCGAAGATTTTAAACAAGAATGCGAAGACGAGGAGTTGGCCCTCGCCTTTCAAGTGTCTGAGGATGAGGCGCAGAAGGAGATGATGAAGGTCACCATCGCTGTCCCACCCCCTCGTAACGATGCTGAAGTCGGGAGCTCAAGGCCCATGGACCCGACGCCTATCAGTGTGGCGCCGGGTAAGAAGAAAAAGGCGAAGGCTGCCACGAAGAAAAAACAAGCTGCCATCGATGCTGGGCAGCCAATAGGGATTCTCGAAGGATACTCCTACCTGAACACTGCTGCCTTAGATGTGAAGACTAGAGCCACACGGGGGGAGTACATGGCGACACAGCTCTTGGTCGGGCCCTCGACACAGGTGGTGGAGCCGGGGCCAGATGACGTTCTGTTACATGCCCCCGCCGGCTGTTTTGCCGTGCACATACTCTCGGTGGAGTTGGGCCTCCGATTCCCCCTCCACCCCTTCTTGATCGAGTACCTTCGGTTCGTCAAACTCGCCCCCTGCCAGCTTACCCCAAACAACCATTCCTACTTGGCTGGCTTCCTTTCCCTTTTCCGGGGATGTGGAGCCCACTCTAGATAAATTCTTCCTCTCCTTCAATCTCTGCCGGGGAGGTCACTCAAATGTTGGAGGCTTCGCCAACCTGCATCAGCTCCCCTACTTCAGGCTCTTCGACGATGTTCCTTCGTCTCACAAGGAGCGGAAAGACAAGTTTTGCTATGTCCGCATGGCGGATAATCCCTTTCCGGCCCCACTCCGTGATAGCTTCCGGAGGCATGTAAAGGTAGGCAGCGCCGCTTTGGAGAAGAAGGGGAGGAAACTTTCCAAGAAACCTGAGGGATCTGAGAAGCATGTCAAGATTAAGGATGCCACCCTTCCAGACGAGCTGTACAAGCTCGGCTTCCGCCGATATCAGCTCATGGGGGAGGAGGCCGAAAATTATCCCGAGATTGATCGTGTATACGAGAGCGCCGAAGGTGGTAGCATTGCCGAGGGCTTTAGTTTTTATACTTAGCAAATTTTTCTTCCTTTGCTTTATTTTAGTAGTATTCTAACACTTGTGTGCCTTCCTTATTTTTCAGGACCAGATATGGACGCTAGGAACCTCTCCAAGTTGAAGAAGCAACTGGCGAAGGAGAACAAGAAGAAGGACGCCCGGCGCAGCAGAGGGCGGTGGATGACATCTTCCCGAAGGTGGGAACTGTCGACGGGGCCAAGGAGGCAGGGCCCGTGGTGAAGGTTGCTGCCGGCGAAGATGCCGGCTCTGATGCCGGAGGCTCTCCCATTGGGGAGCTCAAGAGAAAACGAGCTGGGAAAGGCGTGGTGCCCCCGGATGAGAAGAAGAAAAAAAAGGGGGCCGCCGAGAAGAAGGACGTCCCCGTCGTCGTCGTTGATGAGCACTCCTCGCCCGAGGATAAAGGTGTCGCTGGGATGACATGGCCCTAGGATAATGTGCAGTTCTCCATCACCAAGGGGACTGCCATCATGCACGCGACTTTGAACCCGAGGGAGTTTTTGGGGGGCGCCACCCCTCCGACTAATAAGTCCGTGCTCTCCTGGTAGGCTGACGATGTCCTCTGCCCCAAGGTCCTTTAGGCCTCAGTTACTGTAAGATCCCTCCTCCCTTCTCTCCTTTAGTTAATCCAGACTTAACATATTTGTGTGTAGTGACTTATCCTTCAATGTTTCCCGATCCCCCTTGCAGGCAAGCCTTGGCCTCGGTGAGCTCATTCATAGGATGGAGAAATCACTCCTCCAGAAGCAGAAGGCTGACGAAGAGCTGGCCCAGGCACGAAGGCAGCTTAAGGAGGCCGAAGAGGCTTTCAGAGTGGAGAGGGCGGCCTTCAACAAAATCCTTGAAGAATCCAAGACGGTGGCCAAGGCCGAGGGGAGAGCCGAGGCTGAGAATATTGCTACCGAGGTCGCGAAGGTAGCTGTCGAGAGGGCTGAGGAGGCCAAGAAGGAGGCGGTCATCCAAGCTGAGAAGGATGCGGCGACTGCTTTTATGGCCGAGGGCTGGAAGGCCGAGGGACGAAAGCAGTGGGTTGCCTCGGTGGTGGAGGCCTCAGTGGAGGACTGGGTGAAAGGCCTAGGTGCAATGTGGCTAGCCCGAAAGGGCAAGGAGTATTATGATGGGGGCGAGGTGCTTGTATGAGGGCTTGGCCTTTCGGCCAGGTGCTTGTATGAGGGCTTGGCCGCTCACAAGTGTTCCGTTCTTGGTGTCTTCAACATGTCTTCATTCTTCAAAAATTTGGGGGGCCTTGAGTCGTAGGATAACACATTCATTAGTTATGAGGGCTTGGCCGCTCCAATATTACTGATAAAATTTAACTAGATGGTGTACATTCCATTGTCGGGGACTTCGGTCCCGTTGGGGCGTTTGAGCTTATAAGTTCCTGGTTTGATGACGGCTGTAATGATGTATGGACCCTCAAATTTGGGCGCCATTTTACCTCCATCAGTTGGTTGGCTAGCTTCCCTTTTTCGGAGAACGTAGTCCCCCACCTGAAATTCTCGGGAACGAACCTTGGCATCGATGTAGCCTTTGACCTGCCTTTGGTAGTTTTCCGCCTTAAGGAAGGCCTGCTCTCGGCGTTCGGAGATGAGGTGAAGGTCGAGGGCCATGTTGGCGTCGTTGATCTCGGGATCATATTGATCTACCCTTCGGGTAGGTAAAGTTACCTCCGTAGGGGCCTTCGCCTCGAATCCGTAATAGAGGGAGAAGGGTGTTTCACCTGTTGCCCGCCTAGGGGTAGTTCGGTAGGCCCAGAGAATGTTGTGGAGTTCTTCTACCCAGCCTCCCCCTTCGGCTTCAAGCTTCTTTTTTAGGCCTTCAACCAAAGTTCGGTTGGCGTTCTCCACCTGTCCGTTGCCTTGAGGGTAGGCAACCGAAGAGAATGTGTGTTTGATGCCCCATGCCTCTAGGATGGCACAGAAGGGGCTGCCTCAAATTGAGTCCCGTTGTCAGAGATGATTTGTTGAGGGACGCCAAACCTTGTGAGGATGTTCTTGAGGATAAAGTGGCGGCATCTAGCTTCGGTGATGCTGGCGAGGGGCTCAGCCTCCACCCACTTAGTGAAGTAGTCAATGGCAACGATGATGTATCTGTTGTTGGAGGTACCCCTCGGCAGAGGGCCTACCAGGTCAATCCCCCATCTTGAGAAGGGTATAGCAGTGCTGTAGGGGGCATAGTTGACTGCTAGCCTGCCGGGGGCCTTCTGAAAGTGCTGACAAGCGGTGCACCTTCGGGCAAGATTCGCGCAATCACGGGCCATGGTGGGCCAGAAGTAACCCTGGATTATGAGCCTTCGGGACATGGAGACGGGTCCCTGATGAGCTGAACAAGTGCCACTGTGCACTTCCTCCATTGCAACTTCGGCTTCATCATCCTGATGAAGGCACCAAAGGAGGGTACCGTTGTAAGATCTTTTGTAAAGCCTTCCATTCTCGAGGGTGTAGCTGGGAGCCCTCAGTTTTGCTAGTTTTGCGCGGGCCTCATCCTCGGGCAGTTGCCCTGTGGTAATGAAGGTGGTGATGTCGGAGATCCAGTCCTCCGGCCTGAGATGTATATCCATTATGGGGCTCACATGTATGCTCGAGAGGTTGAGCTCTTCGATTCTTGCAATTTTGGAGAGGTGCTCCGGGGACTTGGCCGAAAGCTTTGACAAAATATCGGCCTCAGAATTTTGAGCCCTCGGTATTTGGGTGAGAGAGTGTGCCTCAAATACCTTAAGCAATTCTTTAGCCGCCTCCTTGTATTGTTTCATCCTTCCTTCCTTGGCCTCATATTCTCTAGAGATTTGGCCCACGACAAGCTTGGAGTCACACTTGACGTGGATCATTCTAGCCTTCATATTTGCTACCAGCCGAAGGCCACAGAGGAGGGCCTCATATTCGGCTTCGTTGTTGGACACTTTGAAGGAGAAGCGGATGGCATAATAGGCGCAGAAGCCCTCGGGTGTTATGAGAACTACTCCCCCTCCGCATGCTTTGGTGGCCGAGGAGCCGTCGGTATAGAGGATCCACCATTCGTCTGGAGGGGCCGAAGGCTCCTCATTCACCGCTGATCTCGCGGTGCATTCTGTGACGAAGTATGCCAGGGATTGACCCTTGATGGTAGGCCTCGGGCGGATGTCTATGTCGTACTGGCTGAGGAAGATGACCCATTTTACCATTCTGGAGGAGCTGGTGGGACTCCTCATAAGGGCGCCGAGGGGTTGATGTGTGAGCACTTGTACCGGATGAGCTTGAAAGTAGTGGCCTAGCTTCTTGACAGTCCAAACAATGGCTAGTATCATTTTTTCCACGGGGGAGTACCTGAGTTCTGCCTCCCTGAGGGTCTTGCTAACATAGAAGATGGCATGTTGGATGCCATCTTCCTCCCGGATGAGTACTGAGCTGATGGCTGCTGGGCTGACGCCAAGGTATAGATATAAGGTCTCTCCTACCTTGGGCTTGGAGAGCACAGGAGGAGAAGAGAGGTATTTTTTGAGCTCGTCGAAGGCCCCTTGACACTCAGTTGTCCATTGGAAGCCTGCTGTCTTCCTCATGATTTGGAAGAAGGGGAGGGCCTTCTCTGCTGATTTGGAGAGAAAACGGTTGAGGGCCGCCAGGCGATCTGTCAATCTCTGAACCTCCTTCACGTTGCGCGGGGGCCCCATGTTGATGATGGCTTGAATTTTTTCAGGGTTGGCCTCAATACCCCTTCGACTAACCATGTAGCCAAGAAACTTCCCTCCTTGTACGCCGAAGGTACACTTCTTTGGATTCAACCGAAGGTTGAATTTCTACATGATGGCGAATATCTCCCGGAGGTCCTCAACGTGGGTGCTTGATTTCTTGCTCTTGACGATCATATCGTCAACATAGGCCTCCATGGTGCATCCCAAGACGGCTTGAAAGACCCTGGCCACCATACGGGTGTAAGTGGCGCCTGAATTCTTGAGGCTGAAGGCCATTACAAGATAGCAAAAGATGCCTTCGGGTGTCATGAAGGCTATTTTTTCGGCATCCTCTTCATGCATATAGATTTGATGGTACCCGCGGAAGGCGTCGAGGAATGACATGATTTCGCATCCCGCAGTCTCATCTACCAGCTGATCAATATTTGGTAGAGGGAAGGGGTCCATTGGGCACGCCTTATTCAAGTTAGTGTAGTCCACACACATGCGGAAGGTGGGTGGCTTCTGTGCTAGTACCACATTAGCCAACCACGAAGGATATTTCACCTCCTTGATGTGTTTGATGGAGAGGAGCATGGCGACCTTCTTCTTGACAAAGTCCCTTCTCTCGGTCGAGAGGGGCCTTCTTCTCTGTTGTACTGGTTTGGCCAAAGGGTCTACCGCCAGGCGGTGAGTGATGACCTTTTGGTGGATCCCCGACATATCCTCCGGCCCCCATGCAAAAACAACGGAGTAGGCGTGAAGGGCTTCAATTATGCCGGTCTTCAGGTCTTCGGGGAGCTTGGCTCCAATCTTCAAGACTCTCTCCGGCTTGGCCGGGTCGAGTACAAAGTCTTCGGTGTCTTCGGCAGGCTCAGCCCTCGGCCTGCCTTCCTCCTCATCCAAGGCGGCGGTGATTGTGTCAATGCGGAGCTCAGTTTTACTTACCTTCTTGGTGAGTTGAAGGTAGCAAGCCCGGGAGAGCTTTTGATTCCCCCTAGAGTAGTCGATGCCGGTAGGTGTGGGGAATTTGAGGCAGAGGTGCCTCATAGAGATGACGGCTTCCAGGTCCTCGAGGGAGGGCCGGCCGAGGATGATAGTATGTGCGCAGTCGAGGTTGACGACGACGAATTCCACTTCGAGCTTGGCTCTATGGGATCCGTCGCCAAACTCAACCATAAGGGTGATAATGCCTTCAGCGTCGATGCTGTCCCCAGTGAAACCGGAGAGGGGGGGTGTTGATATGTTGAAGGGATCCCATATCAAGTTCAAGCTCTTGGAAGGTGCTGAGATACATCACGTTGACGGAGCTTCGGGTATCAACATAGGTCCGGAGGATGATGGTGTCATTGATCTCCATACGGATGAAGAGGGCATCCCTGTGAGGAAGGGCACCCGGGGGCAGATCCGCATCTGTGAAATAGATGGGATCCACCCTAGGCCTCTTGGTTGGGGGTATATGGCTGACTTCCCCAACGTAGAGGGATTGAGCCCACTTCTTCCTTTGGCTCGTGGAGTCGCCTCCGGTGTTGCCGCCAGTGATCATGTGGATGTCGCGCTTCTTCTCCTGGTACTGGCTGTACTCTTCCTCCTCATTGAGGTTCCCAAGCTCCCTTTTCTTACCCTTCGGGTCACCGAGGGGGATGGTGTTTGGGTTGACCCAAGCGTTCGCTTTCTTAGGGGGGCCCTGGTACCGATGACACCATTGATTCCGAGGGGGTCATAACCCTCCCGGTACTATTCGGCGACGGGCTCCATAGAGCCAAGCTCGAAGTGGAGTTCGTCGTCGTCAATATCGATTGCGCCCACAACATCATCCTCGGCCGGCCAGCCCTCGAGGATCTTGAAGCCATCATCTCCATGAGGCACCTCTGCCTCAAGTTCCCAGCCGAAGGGGGCATCGGCTACTCAAGGGGAAATCAGAAACTTGCCCGCACTTGCTATCTCCAGGTGACAAAGAAGGTTAGCAAAACCGAGTTCCGTGTTGACACCATCACCGGGGCTATTGAAGAGGAGGAGAAGAGACCGAGGGCTGAACCGGCCGAGGATGTAGAAGACTTTGCGCTCGATCCGGCCAAGCCGGAAAGAGTCATGAAGATCGGAGCCCAGCTCCCCGAAGACTTGAAGATCGGCATCATCAACGCCCTCCGCGCCTACTCCATTGTTTTTGCAAGGGGGCCGGAGGACATGCCGGGGATCAACTGAAGGGTCATCACCCACCGCCTCTCGGTGGACCCTTCGGTTAAACCAGTACAACAACGGAGAAGACCCCTCTCGGCCGAGAGGAGGGAATTTGTGAAGAAGGAGGTCGCCATGCTCCTCTCTATTAAGCACATCAAGGAGGTGAAATACCCCTCATGGCTAGCAAACGTAGTCCTCGCACAAAAGCCTCCCACCTTCCGCATGTGCGTGGACTACACGGACCTCAACAATGCGTGCCCCATGGACCCCTTCCCTTTACCAAACATTGATCAATTGGTAGATGAGACCGCGGGATGCGAAATCACGTCCTTCCTCGATGCCTTCCGAGGGTATCACCAAATTTTCATGCACGAGGAAGACGCCGAAAAAACAGCCTTCATGACTCTCGAGGGCATCTTCTGCTACCTTGTAATGGCCTTCAGCTTCAAAAACTTAGGCGCCACTTACACCCGGATGGTGGCCAGGGTATTTCAGGCCGTCCTGGGGCGCACCATGGAGGCGTATGTTGACAACATGATCGTCAAAAAGCAAACAATCCTCCAGCCATGCTGACGACCTCAGGGAAATCTTCGCCATCATGCAGAAGTTCAACCTTCGGGTAAACCCGAAGAAGTGCACCTTCGGCGTACAAGGAGGCAAATTCTTAGGCTACATGGTGAGCCGAAGGGGTATCGAGGCCAACCCCGAGAAAATCCA